AAATTTAACATGTTTTCAGTATGTAAATACACAAGTGTTCAACCAAATATAATCAGCTTTTAAAACACATTACTTTTTAGCAGGATGCTATTCAAAAGTACAATCAAAGAAACATAACAGCATCAACAGATTGAATGGACTTTTACTGAAAATTACTAGTAAAAAAATTTGTGAAAGATGGCCCTTTAACAAGAAAAAATATGAAAAAGAAAGAAAATAGAGCCCTTCATCATCACAAGTCTTGAAGTTTAAGTTTTAGTTGGCACCAATTGGCAATCATATTCTTGTCATGTCAGTATATCCAGAATATACAAATACAAACTTTTTTGGATATGAAAATATTTTCTCTTTAAATATCCTTACTACGAAAAACAGACATATGTACATTTTAGCAAAAAAAGGTGTTTTTTTATGGAGCCTAAGGGGGAAAACAATAACATAGATTGACTGTTCTGCTTCATATTCACTAGAATCATAGCATACACTTCATCTCCTGTTAAATAAATAGAATAACCCAACAGCAAAACAGTTTGATCATACCATTTAAATTATAGGGATAGTAATATTGATTAAATTCATTTAGCAGTTGTAGGTCATCAGATCTATTGCATTGTTTAATGAATACACTGCCACATAATATATATATATATATTATATATATATGAAAAAAAAATTATATAAGCCACAGCTTCTGTCATATATACTAGGATATTTTACAATAACATAAAGATCCACAATGGATCGTTTTAATTTGTAAGTTCATGACCGATGATTTACCACATTGTATTGTAGTAATACTGTTTATGTAGTCTGTAATATGTATATATAATATACACTAAGAAAGCAGAATTCCTACACATTTTGAGTGTTTTTGGAATTTTTCATGCTGAACATGCCACTGTCACGGGTTGATTCACTGTGAAAGTTGAGTTTACTTGGATCCACATAATCATTGCCTGCCTTTCTAGTAGCACCATTGTAAAATGCATTACTGTTCTTAATTTCAAGATGTTTGGTGGACTTGTGCCAATTTGATGATTTCTTCTGTCGATATCTTCTGTACATCACTACAAATATAAGCAGCACTGCTACGAAGACTATGAGAACTATCACTATTGGCAGTACTACTTGTAATATTGGTACACTATGTGTAATACTGGCATGCTCATTATCTTCCACTTCAGTTGTTTGGATGAGATCTGAAAATTATCAACAAATGAAAAGTGTTTTTTATTATTACTTTTTTTGGAATTTCAGACAAACCATATTAAATTTTTAAAATAGACAAAATTAAATACACTAAATTCAGCATAGGAGTGTCAGCCAAATGCATAACAAAAATTGGGCATAAGAATAAGTTCTACCATTACAATATCTACCATTATAGAAAAATTTCAAGTGCTGAAACACTTGTGAAAATTAAAATGGTGTTACAGCCAAACCTGAACTGAACTTCAGAAAGTAAATTTGTTTGTATAACTGTTAGCACAACATTGAATGTGATGGTCATATATATATCAAAATATAAAAACTCTGATGATCACAAAAATATACATATACATGACATGACATTGATTTATTCTGTGTAAACTGGTAACTGAAACAAACAATCTGTTATCACGCCATACAAATTACAATAAATCTTACCTGTTGATGTGGGATACTGGTGGCCATTTGTCCTGGGTTGGCTGGGATGAATTTTGAATATGGATCTAGTCATGCTTGTACTGATAATGTGATCTGTAGTAGATGTCCTCTCTCCTGTGGAATCAAGCAGAAAGTGGGTGTGTTTTTTTTCATACAAATCACTCAATTAATCTTCAGTCTTCAGTGAGCTTCCATATCATAGACATAACAGTGTTAACCCACAGCAGCTCATGTTTCTTGTAAAACGTGTTATAATGTCTCGACTGTAACTACTTTTGTCATACAATTAAATAAATGCACCTTTGTGTTACTTATTCTTACCTATTGGTATGCTCGATGTTGGTGGCACATATGTTGAATATGTGTTCTTTTCTGCAAGAAAGACAACAAAGTAGTCAGCAAAGTGGAAAGCATATAATGCCTCAAGGACAGGTGCGCTGCACATGGTCTGTTATACTTGTGAAACTTGAGGAATAGTTGCACATGGTACCCAGTGTATTTAAAAGTATCTGTTTCTATGGTGTGAGTGACACTAGTGTTTACTGTAAGACCCCTAATTGTAACTGAGACAGTTTGAAAAAAAATATAGGAAGTTTATAAACTTATCAACAAAGACACAACCCATAAATAGTTAAGGTTAGCAACTGTTCTGCATTGAAACAAGCCATAAATCGGGTACTGGGTATTTTGATCATTATATCAAACATATAGACCACCTGTAGTGGTGTTCAGAAAACTGTATTGTTTAGTGATATATAACCAAGCTTCAAAGAACAACCATATACTGTGACCTAGTTACATGTAGGCTACCGGTATAATACTTTTTCTAGTTTTCCAATGATGATGATGTTATGATGGGTGGTTTCTATTAAAATCAAATTCCATATCTCATAATAACAAGTTTTGAAATGATTTTATAGTGGTATACTATAATTTGTATGCATTATTTCAACTTACCAGCACACCTAAGACAACACTGGCCTACTGGGAAATATGCATCTTCACATGTCAACTCAGGACATTCTGGGATTGTACATACACCTATAGCATCTTGGCAGTAACAATGTATACAACTATCAATATCCCATCGTTCTCCTTCTGTATAGATTTGATTCTCAAATTCACAGTATTTTTGAGTTGGTGGATCTGATGTGGATGATAATTGAATTGAAATTATAATCCATGGTTATTCAATAAATATTATTTCCACTCTAAATTATTTACTAATTCCATACTTACTATTTATAACAAAAATACTTAAGACAACTGGTAATAGAATATTTAAAAAACAAAACATGAGAGGCAGGGTGTCATTACATGCACGCAATGAGTTGGCTTTATCAAAAATTGGTAAAGTGAATTAGAATTATGAAAAGCTCAAACGGGAAATGAAGGAAAGTGATGATATGATGTTAAGTTGTCTTAATAGTAAAGAGTAGAAAGGGAGTCAATTCCAGAATGTTATCAATCCCCAACTATACTTGTCATTTACACAATCACATTCAACTTACCAAGACAAGAAGGACAACATTGTCCCTTTTTCAGTATCGGTGTTTTACATTCCAGAATTGGGCATACATGTGAATAACATGTGATTTCACCATGTCTACATGTGCAACTTGTACAGTCATCTTCTTTCCATGAGTCACCATCTAAGTATTCAATACTTGTGATAGTAGTACAACTAAGTGGTGGAATGGTGTCTTCAGTTGTCATGTCAGATTCTGAAAAATAGTTCAAAATGACAATTGGATGATAAATTTTCAATATAGCAAATTGATCAGTACTAATAAGATGAACCAATTTCTAACATCTTTTCAATTTCATTAACCTATCATACGTATTACCAAAAATACAGCCTACTGACTGTATGATACAAGTTTTTATGGGACAGTCATTGTGATGCATTTTTGTGTACTATCAATATCATTGGTCAGTATTGCACTGCCACTATAGTAGTGAAATTTGGCATCTTCAAATTTGAAGTGTTATGTTACCAT